CAGCCCGCGCGCGCGCTTGAGCGCCTCGTAGCGCGCGATCAGCGCATCGGCAACGGCGAGAACGTCGAGCGTGCCTTCGATTTCGCGCAGCAGGTCCAAGCGGTTGCAGGCTTTTGCGATCCGGTCCGCTGCCGACAGATAGTCTGCCTCGAAGGAGGGCAGCGCCCCGGCAATATCGGCCGGGAACATATTGTGCGTCGCCGGCGTGCCATCGGCCTTCAGAAATGCCCTGGCCAGCGAGGAGAGGCGCAATAGAGCGTCCGGCTCCGCCGACGCATCGCGCAGCTCGGCGATGAACTTCAGATGCGTCTTTCGCGGTGACTTCGGCGCACGGGCCGCATGTTCCAGCCGCTCCAGATCGGCCTCTCCGAACCCCGGCAGCGGCCAGACGGTCGCGGCGACGTCCGCATCGGTCTCGTCCGGCGCGAACCCGAAGGCGGTGCGATAGGCACCGCGTCTCTCCCCGGCCGGCGAAAGCCGCCGCAGCAGATCGGTGACCGCGATGCGCCGGACGACGATCTCGTCGAGCAGCTTTTCGACCCCGCTTTCCCCGGCAATCGCCAGAAGCCGCATGACCGCCGCACCCGCGCCTCTCCGCTGCGCCGCATCGGCCAGGAGTCCGCGCCGCGCCTGTGCGACAAGCAGCGCCTGCGCCTCGGCGTCCAGCAGCTCGAAATGGCCGGCAATGTTGGCTTCGAGCGGGAACCGGTGCAGCAGCGATTCGCAAAAGGCGTGAATGGTCTGGATCTTCAGCCCGCCCGGCGTCTCGAGCGCGCGGGCAAACAGGGTCCGCGCGAACGCGAGCGCCTCCCGCCCCGGCATTTCGTCGGTGATGGCGGCCAGCTCGTCGCGCAGCGCCGCATCGTCCATCGCCACCCAGGCCCCGAGCCGCTGGAACACACGGGTCTTCATCTCCGCGGCGGCGGCCCTGGTGTAGGTCAGGCACAGGATTTTCGACGGCTCGGTGCCGGACAGAAGAATACGGATGACCCGGGTCGACAGGACCCAGGTCTTGCCGGACCCGGCATTGGCGGACACCCAGGCGGAATTGGCCGGGTCCGCCGCTCGGGCCTGATCGGCTCGGGTCCTGTCGTCGGGAAGCGGTTTAGCCATCGCGTTCGCGCCGCACCGCGTCGGCCCATTCCAGCGCCCGCGCCAGATGGTCGTAATCGCCGTCGAAATCGGCCTCCCGGAACGGCATGAGGCGGCTCGGGTAGCCTTGCTCGAATTTGTTGTAGTGCGCGCAGAGCCCCTCCAGCTTCTCCCATGCACGCCGGGCGAGCGTGGCCGCCTTGTCATTCTTGCCGCCCGATACGGGCCGGGCGACCAGTTCGCCGCGCGCGCCGAGCCGGACATAGATGAGATCGCCCGGCTCGGATTTTTCGGGGCTGTCGAAGGCGCCGCGTTCAAGCAGGGCCGCCTCGAGCGGCAATTGTGGCGCCAGCAGCGTCTGAACCTGCGGCGTGGATGGCGCGCCGCCGGTCTTGAAGTCGATAATGTCGGCAAGCCCGTCGGTGCGCGCATCGACGCGGTCGGCATAGCCGCGCAGTGTCACGCCAGTTGCGCCGACGGGCGTCGGCCGGGCGCGGGCTTCGGGATGTCGGGCGGTGATCAGCGGTTGCCTTTCGGTCTCCCAGGCGACGATCCGCGGCAGCGCGGCCAGCATCCGGGCCCACCATACCGCGTCGATCTCCGGCGGAAGTCTCTCCGCATCGAACACGTCTCGCGCCAGGCGCTCCAGCGCGGCGTGGGCCGTCTCCGCTGGCCAGTCGATCCTCGCCCGCGCCGCTTCCTCCATCACCTTGTGGATCAGCGATCCCCGGTCGGCGAAGTCCGGATCGCGCACCAGCGGATCGAGCGGCGCCAGTTCCAGAACGCGGCGCGCATAGACGGCGTAGGGATCGCGCCGCAGAGTTTCGACTTCGGTCACCGACAGCGCCTTCGGCCGCGCCGTGAGCGGCGGCTGCGGCGCCGGCCGCCCGGCCGGATCGGCGATGGACGGCGCGGCGACGGTTTCGGCCAATTGCGCATAGTGACCGCCGGCCGCGTGCATTGCCGCCGTCCGATCCGGCCCGGCCAGCGTTTCCAGCCTCTGGAGCCAGCGCGAGGCGACGGCCGGGGCACCGCCTGCCCGAATGGCTCGGGTGAGAAGCACGCGGCGATTGCCCATCGCCATCTGGAAATCGTGCGCTGCCAGCCCGATGCGCCGTTCGGGCGGATCGAGACCGATTTCCGCTTTCATCGACCGCGTCAGGAACGCGTCATTGGATGTCTGCGCCGGCCATGTGCCTTCGTTGAGGCCGCCCAGCACCATCAGGTCGACGGTCTGGAGGCGCGCTTCCAGCGTGCCCCAGATCGCAATGCGCGGATGACCCCCGGCGGCCGGTTTGACCGCCATCGTTGCGGTCAGGGCGCGGACCATGTCCGGCCACTGGTCCGCAGCGAAGGCGATGGGCGTTGCGCTGTCGCGCAGGCGTCGCAACAGGCCTTCGAGCGCCGTGCCGCTTTCGCCTGCGTAAAGCGCGTCGAACCGCCCGTCGCCATCGCGCGTGATCGCCTCAAGCACCTGCACCGTTGCGCACACGGTTTTGTCGAGAGCGATCGTTTCCGCCGCATCGCCGAGCCGGCAGAGCGGTGCGAATGCCGTTTCGATGCGCCCGGCCAAGTGCCGCGCCCGATCGAATGCGTCGGCACCCATGGTCTTGAACCAATCCGGCTTGCGCCGCCCGTCGTCGGCCCATTGTGCCAGTGCGTCTTCGGCGAAGCCCGCGAACTGGCCGAGCGCTATCCGGCCCGTGCCGCCTCGCAGCGCCAGCATTTCCAGATGCGCGGTTGCGGCCATGTGCGCCGCCCGGTCGGCGCCGAACCGCGCCAGCGGATGCTTGAGCAGCGCCAGAAGCGCGGCAGGGTCCGCCTCTCCCTCCGCGAGCGGCAGGGCGAGCGCAAGCAGGCTGCCATGCGGCGTCAATGCAAACGGCGTGCCGCCGGAATCGTTGGCTTCGACATTGAAGCGCGCAAGCTCGGTTGCAACGCGGCGGGCCAGCTGCCGGTCGGGCGTCACCAGCGCCGCCGTCGCCTGCGGATCGAGAATGGCTTCGCGCAGCGCGCAGGCGATCGCCAGCGCCTCGGTCCGCTCGTCGGCCGCGTGCAGAACCGCAGTTCCGGCAAAGGCGGCGTCCTTGAACGTCGCGCGTTGGGCGGCCCAGTCCGCCGTGCGTTCGGCGGGTGCCAGCGCCGCTGCGACCCAGCGGCTTCGCGCCGCAACCGCATCGTCCTCCGCCGCGCCGAGCCGCTCGATCGCGTCGGGCGCGATCCCGATCGAGCGGACGAGCTTGTGCATGCCGAACTGCGGATGGCCGATCACCGGCGTGGCATCGCCAACGGTTTCAAGAAGCGTGCGTGTCTCGCCATCCATCTCCGTGTCGTAGCCCGGCAGCACGACAGCGCCCTGGGGAAGCCGCGCAATGGTGGCGATCAGTTCCGCCGTCGCAGGGATGGTGCCGGTCGAGCCGGCGACGATCACCGGCCCGGCGGGCGGCGCGGCGGCGAGCCGGGCCGCCTCGGCCCGGATCATCCGGTTGCGATGGTCGGCCGGGTCCAGCCGGTTGGCCTCGGCGAGATGCGCCGGCCAGGCCTTTTTGACGATCTGCAGAAAGGCGAGCGTGACGTTCCACCATTCCGAGACCTCGGCGCCGGCGGCATCCTCGATGGCCTTGAACGGAATGCCCTCGGTCTCAAGCTGGTCGATCAGCGCGGCGAGATCGGCCGCCATCCAGAAAGCGTCGGCGGTCGACACCGGCGTCGTCACCCGCTCGATGCCGTAAAGCGCATGCAGATCGTCTGTCATCGCCTCTGTCCAGCGCGCCGTCAGCGTGCCGAGCGCAAGCTGGCGCTCAAGCGCGTCGATCGCCGGCGGCACCGACAGCATCTCCCCCGCGCCTGCTGCAAAGAAGGCGGCATCCTCGTCGAATTCCCCGAGCGGGCGGATGCGCGGCAAAAGGATGGAGCGTTGGCCGAGCGCATCCATGAACACCGACCGCAGCTCGCGCGCCGCGCGCCGCGTCGGCACATAGATGGTCGCCCGCGCCAACGCCATCGGATCGCCATCGAAGGTGAAGCCGTCGATCAGTGTGCCCTCCAGCAGTCCATCGGCGATGGCGGGCAGGAAAGGCGCGCCGGGCGCGACGGTGAAGACTTTGGGATGGACGTAGCGGTTCTGGGTCACGGCGGCAGATCGCGATTCGGAGAGCCCAAGTCTGCGGGCCTCCCGCTCGGCGGTCAAACCCTGCCCGCTGCCAGATGCGCCTCGACCTCCGTCAGCCCGTCCGGCGTGCCGACCGTGTACCAGTGGCCGTCTTCGAGCGCATGGCCGAACAGCCGGCCGGCGGCGATGGCGGCGTCGAAATAGCGGTTCAGCGAATGCGGCTCGGCACGCGCGCCGGTGAAGACCGCCGGATCGATGATCGCCGCGCCCGCATAGATGACGCCGGCTCCGGCCGGATCCGGCGCCCGTGCGATCCGGCTGCCGGCGTCCAGTGTGAAGTCCACGCCGCCCGAATGTCCCGTCGTATCGTCAAGGCGCGCGGTCAGGAGCAGCATGTCCATGCGTGCCGGGTCGAACGCGTCGATCATCGCCGCAAGCGTCGACCGACCGCCATCGACCCAGAACGTGTCGGCGTTGAGGAGCGCGAACGGAGTATCGCCGAGCAACGGCAACGCCTTGACCACGCCGCCCCCGGTTTCAAGGATCGCGTCGCGCTCGTCGCTAATCGACGTCGCCGGCGTCTGCCGGCTCGCGCAATGCGCAATGATCTGCTCGCCCAGATAATGAACGTTGACCACGGCGCGCGCGATCCCGGCCGTTTCCGCCGCATCGAGCGTCCGGTCGAGCATGGTACGCCCTCCCACCGGGACCAGGGGCTTGGGCACGGTGTCGGTGATCGGCCGCAGCCGTTTTCCGAAGCCGGCGGCCAGCACCATGGCTGTTGAGACCGGTGCGGTCATCGCGGTTCGACCGTCACGTCGAGCAGGCCGCGCGCGGCGAGCCACGCGTCGAGATCGGCCAGCGCCGGATGGCACAACGACTGGCGCATGTATGTCTGGATGCGCGGCAGATGTGCGATGTAGCCCGGCTTGCCGTCCCGTTCGTCGAGGCGCACGAATATCCCCAGAAGCTTGGCGGCCCGCTGCGCGGCCAGAATGGCGGAACACTCCCGGAAGCCGGTCTCGTCGAAGTCTCCCGCCTGTTGGTCCCTTGCCGCGCAATAGGCTTCCAGAAGCCGCGACTGCAGGTCCGGTTCGACGGTGACGCGCGCATCGCGGATCAGCGACATCACGTCATAGGCGGGGTGGGTCCAGAGCGCATCCTGAAAGTCGATCAGCCCGACCCGGTCATGTCCGGTCCTTTCGCCGCGCCAGACAATGTTGGGCGAGTGGAAGTCGCGCATCGCAAGGGTCTTGGGGCCGGCATCGACGGTGGCGAACAGCACCTGCCAGATGGCGTGCCAGGATTGCCGGTCCTCGGCGCTGGCCGGAGCGCCGGCGACCCTCGGAACATACCAGTCGAGCAGCAGATCGACCTCGATCAGGAAGGCGCCGAGGTCGAACGCCGGCACCCGGTGGACCGTGCCGTCTTCCAGGACGATCTCGCGGGGCCAGTCGGTGGCGTGCATGGCGGCGAGGCAATCGACCGACGCCTCATAGCGCGCCGGGATCGGCCGGCGGGCAGCATCCAGCACGCCATCCTCGCCGAGATCTTCGAGCAGGATCAGCCCGGCCTCATGGTCGACCGCCATGATCTCCGGCGCGGCGAAACCCGCTCCGGTCAGTATCCGGGCCACTGCGACGAACGGGCCGATATCTTCCGCCAGATGGGCGATCTGCGAATAGGGCTTGCCGTCGCGCACCGGGGGCCCGTCGGGCATGGGCGGCGCGTCCATGACGATGGCACGCCACGCACCGTCGGTTGCCGTTTCGTAGCGGCGGGTGGACGCATCGCCGGTGAGCGGCGCGCGGTTTGCCCCGCCATGGCCCGCGGACAGGAGCAGTGCGCGGATCGCCAGCGTGCGCCTTATGCGCGCAACGGCCGCTTCGGGCGCTTCGATCGCGATCGTGCGGGCATCGGCGCCGGCGTCGGTCACGGTTTCCGAAAAAGCCAGCCCGATCGCACCGGCGGGCAGGGCAGTGCCGGCCCGTTCGGGCCACTCGATCAGCGCGATCCCTGCCTCCAGCGCTTCGTCCAGCCCCAGTTCGGCAACTTCGTCCGGGTCGGCGATGCGGTAGAGATCGAAATGGGCGACCGGCGGACAGGTGGCGTATTCCTGTACGAGCGTGAATGTCGGGCTTGGGACTTCCAGCTCGGTGTCGCCGTCCAGCGCGCGGATGAAGGCCCGCGCGAAGCTGGTCTTGCCGGCGCCCAGATCGCCGGACAGTGCCACACAATCGCCCGGCAGGGCGATGCGCGCCAGATCGGCGGCGAACCGCGCCATGGCCGGTTCGTCGAACGGTCCGAATTGCAGCTTGGGCAAGGCGATCCTATTCGGCAGCGACGCTGACACGCGCAGGCGCCTCCGGGAAGGTGACGGTCACTTCGGTGCCACTGTCCGGCGACGATTGGATCGACACGGCGCCGTCATGCAGCGCCACGAAACTCTTGACGATTGCCAGGCCAAGGCCGGCGCCTCGTCCCCGGCCGCCTTGGTCCGTGTGGAACCGTTCGAAGACCTCCGTCAGCGCCCCTTCCTCGATGCCTGGCCCGTGATCGCGGATCCGGAACCGGACTCCATCTTCGGTGCGCTCGCAGGTGAACACGACCTCGCTGTCTTCCGGTGCATAGTCGGCGGCATTGGCCAGGATGTTGGTGAGAACCTGGGTCAGCCGTGCCCGGTCGGCGATGATGCAGCCCGCATCCGGCGCGATGCGCAGCGCCAGGCTGATGCCGTGGTCTTCCAGCCTCGGCATGATCTCGGCGGCCGCCGTGCGCATGACCGGCTCGAGTTCGACCTCGTCGAGCGCAAGTTCCATGACGCCGGCATCGACGCTCGCCAAATCGATAATGTCGCGGGTCAGATCGTTCAACGTGCCGGTGGAAGCGGCGATATGGTCGAGATATTCGCGCTGCTTGCCGTTCAGGGGGCCGGTCGCGTCCATCTCCAGAAGTTCGGTGAAGCCGCCGATCGATGTCAGCGGTGCGCGCAGCTCGTATGATACGTGCCGGATGAGCCGGTCCCGCACAAGTGCGGTCTTTTCCAGCGCGTCGTTGCGCTCGCGCAAGGCGCGCTCCATCTGGTCGCTGGCGGTGATGTCGACGAAGGTGATCATCGTCTGGCCGTTGGGAAGCGGCACGACGGTCCATGACAGTGTGAGGCTGCCGGTCTCCGTCCGCCCGGTCGCGCCGGCACGGTCCTCGTCGAACCCCGTGACGATACCCGCAAACTGCTCCCAGGGCCCGGCATGGCCAAACTTGGCGGCGCACGCCTCGCCGATCTGGTTGATATGAACGCGGGCCTCGCCGGTCAGGTGGCCGATATGCCAGAAGCGCTCGAAGGCAGGATTGGCCAGTTGCAGCGTTCCGTCGGCTTCGAAGACCGCCACACCTTCGGCCAGATGGTCGAGCGTTTCGCCCTGTACGCGCATCAGCGTCTTGTAGCGGCTTTCCAGATCGATGCGCTCAGTCAGGTTCTCGAAAACCCAGGTAAGGCCGCCGCGCGGATGCGGGCTGGCAATGACGCGCACGGTGCGCCCGTCGGGCAGGTACCACCAGTCCTCCTGCGGCTCGACGGCCTTGAAGGCGGCGAGCAGCCCGTCCTTCCAGCGGCGCCATTCCGGCTGCTCGGGGAGTTTGCCCTCGGCGCGCATCCGGTCGAGGAACATCGACATGTCCGGCTTGGATGCCAGGAGCCCGCTGTCGAGTTCCCAGAGCTGTTCGAACGCCTGATTGTGAAAACGCAGCCTCGCATCGCTGTCGAACATGGCCACGGCCGTCGTCAGCTGGTCGAGCGTTTCCTCGTGGCTGCGGATGGTTGTGTTCAGTTCCGATCGAACGGCCTCGGTCTCCGTGCGGTCACGGCCGATGCCGGCCGATCCGAAGGGGCCGGCGACGTCGATCACGTCGAACATCAGCCGGTCGCCGCGCACCACCGTGGAAACCTGGTCGGCAAAATGGCCGTCGGCCTGCCGCTGCTGGGCGATGGTCTTGCCGGCCTGCGTGCCGAACAGTTCGGCCCGTTCGGCGACGACGGCATCGGCATCGGCGCACTCGACGGCGTCCGCATAGGCGCGGTTCACCCAGGCAAGCGCCCCGTCGGCACTGCGCAGCCAAACCGGCATGTCGGACTGGTCCATCAGCCCTTGCAGGGTTTCCAGCGTTTCGACGACGCGGGCGTGATCGGCGATCAGCCGCGCATGATCCGCCCGTTCGCCCGACAGCGACACGAAGCGTACGATCGCGCTGCCGCCGCTGGTCCGGCCGGTCACCTCGACCGGATTGCCCGTCGGCGTCTGCACCAGATCGTCGAACGGCAGCGCATGGTCTCGCAGCCGTGCAATGGCCTGTTCGATGCGCGCCGCCGAGCGCGGCTCGAGCCATCGCCCAAAGGCAAGAAACTCGGATCGCGATTCCGGCGCGCCCGAGCGGGCACCGAGCGTGCCGATGACGGCGGCGGGCTTGTTCGGCTCGTCGCTCCAGACGATCGCACGCTGACCCTCCGACGCGGCCAGCGTCTCGAGCTGGCTCAGCCGCCCGGTCAGCGCGGAGACCTTTCCGCGCAGCGCAAGGTTCTGCGAGGCCGTGCGACCGCGCTCGCGGATCAGCCACAGCGCCGAGCCGATTGCCGCGGCCATGGCGCCGGTGAACAGCGCCAGCTGCACGACCTCGAACGTGTCCAGCGAGATCATCGAGAGCAGCGACGAAAACGAAGTGTTGCCGGGGCCGGTCTGCGCTGCGGCGACACCGGCCCAAAGGCTGGCCAGCGCGCTGCCGCCGAGAAGCGCCGGAAGGCGTGTCAGCCGAACAAACGGATTTGAGACGCGCCGATTTCCGGGCGTTCTGCCATCATGCGGCATGCGGGTCCCCTTTTGCCTCCGCGCAAGGGGCGCCGTGCACGGGCCGTTACCGCGCACGTAAACGAAGCACCCCGACACACGAATCACCGCACCATAGCTGGCGCCGGAATCGCCGTGAAGCCTCGCGCACAAAAAAGCCGGCGCCGCATCGCGGCACCGGCTTCTTTCGTTGACGGCGGACAGATCAGTAGCGGTAGTGCTCTGCCTTGTAGGGGCCCTGCGGCGACACGCCGATATAGGCGGCCTGCTCGTCGCTCATCTGGGTGAGGTTGACGCCGAGCTTTTCGAGATGCAGGCGCGCGACCTTCTCGTCCAGGTGCTTGGGCAGCACATAGACTTCATTGCCGTACTTGTCGCCATGCGCCCACAGTTCGATCTGGGCGAGCACCTGGTTGGTGAACGAGGCGCTCATCACGAAGCTGGGGTGGCCGGTGGCGTTGCCCAGGTTCAGAAGCCGGCCTTCCGACAGGAGGATCATCCGCGTGTCGTCCGGGAAGGTGATCATGTCCACCTGCGGCTTGATGTTGGTCCATTTCAGGTTACGCAGGGCGGCGACCTGAATCTCGTTGTCGAAGTGGCCGATATTGCCGACGATCGCCATGTCCTTCATCGACCGCATGTGGTCGATCGTGATGACGTCCTTGTTGCCGGTCGTGGTGATGACGATGTCGGCGTTCGGCGCGGCTTCATCGAGCGTAACGACCTCATAGCCGTCCATCGCCGCCTGCAGCGCGCAGATCGGGTCGATCTCGGTGACCTGCACCCGGGCGCCGGCGCCGCGCAGCGATGCGGCCGAACCCTTGCCCACATCGCCATAGCCGCAGACGACGGCGACCTTGCCGGCCATCATCGTGTCGGTGGCGCGCCGGATACCGTCGACCAGCGATTCCTTGCAGCCATACTTGTTGTCGAACTTCGACTTGGTGACCGAGTCGTTGACGTTGATGGCCGGGAACGGAAGGTGGCCCTTCTCCATCATCTGGTAAAGGCGGTTGACGCCGGTCGTCGTCTCCTCGGTGACACCCTTGATCATGTGGCGCTGCTTGACGAACCAGCCCGGCGTCTCGGCGATGCGTTTCTTGATCTGGGCGAACAGGGCCTCTTCTTCCTCATTGGTCGGATTGGCGATCAGATCGTCCTCGCCCTCTTCGACGCGCGCGCCCATCAGGATGTAGAGTGTGGCATCGCCGCCATCGTCGAGGATCATGTTGGCGCCGCCCTCTTCGAACCGGAAGATGCGGTCGGTGTAGGACCAGTATTCCTCCAGCGTCTCGCCCTTGACGGCGAAGACGGGCGTGCCCGTGGCCGCGATCGCCGCAGCGGCATGGTCCTGCGTCGAGAAGATGTTGCACGAGGCCCAGCGCACATCGGCGCCCAGTTCCTTGAGCGTCTCGATCAGCACGGCGGTCTGGATCGTCATGTGCAGCGAGCCGGCGATGCGTGCGCCGGTCAGCGGCTTTGCATCGCCATATTCGGCCCGCAGCGCCATCAGGCCGGGCATTTCCGTTTCGGCGATGTCCAGTTCCTTGCGGCCGAATTCGGCCAGCGAGATGTCGGCAACGACGTAGTCTTTGGGGTCAGCCATCAGGGGCTCCGTTGGCAATTGGATTTGGCGCGGCTCCTAACAGACTGAACCACGGCACGCAACGGCAATATAAAGAAATCTTTATGTCCGTATATGAAAGGGCGACTGTCTATTCGCCCTCGCCGAACCGGTCGGCGATCAGCGCGCCGATCGCATCAAGCGCGGCGCCGGCGTCCGGTCCCTCCGCCGTCACTTCGATCGAACTGCCGGGTCCCGCCGCGAGCAGCATCAGCCCCATGATCGATGTGCCGCCGACGCGCGTGCCGTCCTTGGCCACGGTGATGGAGGCGCCGTAGCCTTCCGCGAGCTGGACGAACTTAGACGAGGCGCGCGCGTGAAGGCCGCGCTTGTTGGTGATGGTAAAGACGGCCTGCCGGTGGTTCCGCCCGTCATCCCCCCTGTCCGCTTGCGTGGCATCGCTCATTTGGCGGCCAGGATCTGGCTTGCGACATTGATGTATTTCCGGCCGGCCTGGCTTGCCTGTTCGAGCGTGCTCGCCATGTCGGCGCTTTCGCGCGCCTTGGCCAGCTTGATCAGCATCGGCAGATTGGCCCCTGCGATCACTTCGGTGCGGTCCGGCGCCATCACGGAAATCGCCAGATTGGACGGCGTGCCGCCGAACATGTCGGTGACGACGATGACGCCCCGGCCGGTGTCGACGCGGTCGATGGCCGCCACGATATCCTCGCGCCGCCGCTCCATATTGTCGTCCGCTTCGATGCACACCGTCTCGAACGCTTCCTGCGGGCCGACGACGTGTTCGACGGCGCGCAAAAATGCGTCGGCAAGAGCGCCATGCGTCACCAGCACGACACCGATCATCTGTCACCAACTCCCGTCCGGGGTCCGCTTATCGTGCCCACCTCCGCAAGGGCACCATCTTGATCAGCAAACACGGTCCATTTCAAGGCGTTGGCATGCCCGCGCCGGCTTCAACGCGGCCAAACCGTCACGCTGTGGGGTCAAAGCCACACCGGAAGGCCAAGCGCGGCCAACACGGCCGCCGGTGCCGAGGCGGTCGGCCCTGTCGGCAGTCTGAGGCACGGGAAGCCGTGCCCTTCCACCGTTTCGCGGTGTTCCTGCGCAAAACGCAGTGCGTCTCCAGCCGCGACCAGACGGACCAGCAGCGCAAGCCGGACGGACGGCACGGCGATATCCGAGACATCGGCGATGCCCCAGCCCCGAACTTCGATCTTGCCGGCGAGCGGCGCGGGACACCGGGCGATTATGCCGCTTGCATCGGGTTCAAGGATCACCCGATCGTCGGCGACGAGGCCGGCTTCGATGCCGCCGGCGCGGGCGCGCCGGATCAGCGTCAGTGCAAGCCCTGTCTTGCCGGCGCCCGAGGCGCCGGTGATCAAAACGCCCTTGCCGCCCAACGCAACACATGTGCCGTGCGGCGGGGTGTCGGTGTCGTCCGGGCTCATTCGCGCGGCAGGCGGACGATGAAACGCGCGCCCAGAACGGTTTCGGTGTCGTTCGGACGGGTGATGTTCTCGGCGGTCAGTGTGCCGCCATGGGCCTCGACGATCTGCCGCGAGATCGAAAGACCGAGCCCGGAATTCTGGCCGAAATCGTCCGCGCCGGGACGGTCGGTGTAGAAGCGCTTGAAGATGGTCTCGACATTTTCGGCCCGAATGCCCGGCCCGTTGTCCTCGACCCGGATTTCGACCCATTTGGCATTGCCCGACAGGCGGATTTCGATCCGGCCGGTGCCGGGATGGACGAAGGAGCGCGCATTTTCGACCAGATTGGTGATCACCTGGCCGAGACGCGATTCATGGCCGGCGACCATCAGTGCGCGGCCGCCCTGCTGCCGGTCGATGGTCAGCTTCGGCGCGATGCGGTCCATGTGGCCGTCGGACCAGATGCCGATCATGTTCTGGAGCAGCCGCGCGACATCGACGCGCCCCGCATCCTCGCGCGCGAGTTCCGCATCGAGCCGCGAGGCGTCGGAGATGTCGGTGATCAGCCGGTCCAGCCGCTGCACGTCATGTTCGATGACGTTGAGTAGCCGCGCGCGGGCATCGTCCGTGCGGGCCCGGGGCAGCGTTTCGACTGCGCTGCGCAGCGAGGTCAGCGGGTTCTTCAACTCATGGCTGACATCGGCGGCAAAGCTCTCGATCGCGTCGATCCGCGCATAAAGCGCATTGGTCATGTCGCGCAGCGCCACCGACAGATTGCCGATCTCGTCGTGCCGGTCGGAGAAATCGGGAATTTCCTCGCGGTTTCGGATCGAGCGGCGCACCCGCACCGCCGCCGCCGACAGCCGCCGCAGCGGATTGGCGATCGTGCCCGCCAGCATGAAGGACAGGATGATGTTGACGAGAACCGCGACGGCAAACACGCGGAACATGGCGAAGCGCTCGGCCTCGACGATCTTGTCGATATCGCCGCCCTGCGTGGACAATTGCAGGACACCGAGCACGGCGCGAAAACGCTGCACCGGCACGGCGACCGACACGATCATCTCGCCTTGCTCGGAGATGCGCACGATCTGCCGCCGGTCGCCGGCCAAAGCCTGCATCACTTCGGGATAGGCGGTGCCGGTGCCGCCGGGCTGCTCCCGGTAGAGCGGCAGGTCGTTGCGGCGGAAGAACCGCGCAATGCGGTTGCGCATCTCTTCGGCCATGGTCGTTTCCGGCGCGTCGAGCGGTTCCAGATCGTAGCGCAGTATCTGGCCGCGCGAGTAAAGATGACGGCTGTCGAGGATCAGGTTGCCGTCCTGGTCGTAGATGCGCGCCCGCGTCCGGGTCGGCGAAATCAATTGCCGCAGGACGGGCGCAACGCGCTCGGGATTGATCGGAAAATCGAGGCTGTCGAACCCGTCGACGCTGGGCACGATGCTCTCGCCGGCCTGCAGTTCCAGCAGTTTTTCCGGGTCGATCAGGATCGCGTCGGTTTCCACGCTTGCAGAGGCGGCGATCGCGCCGGCGATGATTTCGCCCTGCGTCATCAGGCTCTCGACGCGCGCATCGATCAGCCCGTCGCGAAACTGGTTCAGATAGAGAATGCCCGACATCAAAAGGCCGAGCGCGGCGAGGTTGAGGATCAGGATGCGCCGCGTGATCGACGAGAACAGGTGCCGGCCGAACAGCCGGCGCAGGCCGGTCAGCCCCTGCACCGATCCGGCGCGGGCCGCCGCCCGCCGCCCGTCGCGGCGTGATTTCGTCGCCGGCATGTGGTCGGTTTCGACCGCCATTGAATGGTCCTCGTGCGGCGCCAGCCATGGCGCCGCTGCTGATGCGTCCGCTTACGCCGCCTCGCGGAACCGGTAGCCGACGCCGTAGAGCGTTTCGATCATGTCGAAATCCTGGTCGGCCCCCTTGAATTTCTTGCGAAGCCGCTTGATGTGGCTGTCGATCGTCCTGTCGTCCACATAGACCTGATCGTCATAGGCCGCATCCATCAGCGCATCGCGGCTCTTGACGACGCCGGGGCGCTGGGCGAGCGAGAACAGGATCAGGAACTCGGTAACGGTCAGCGTCACCGGCTTTTCCTTCCACATGCAGGTATGGCGTTCCTGGTCGAGCACCAGATGACCGCGCACCAGCGTGCTGTTGGCGCCCGCCGCGCCGGGCTTGACCGCGATCTCGCGCGCCGCCGTCCGGCGCAGGATCGCACGCACCCGCTCGATCAGGAGCCGCTGCGAGAACGGCTTGGTGATGAAGTCGTCGGCGCCCATCTTCAGCCCGAACAGTTCGTCGATCTCGTCGTCCTTGGACGTCAGGAAGATCACCGGCAGGTCCGATTTCTGCCGCAGCCTGCGCAAGAGTTCCATCCCGTCCATACGCGGCATCTTGATGTCGAAAATGGCCAGGTTCGGCGGTTTGCCCAGAAGCCCGTCCAGTGCCGAAGCGCCATCGGTGTATGTCTCGACGCGGAACCCCTCGGCTTCCAGCGCGATCGACACCGACGTCAGAATGTTGCGGTCGTCGTCGACAAGCGCAATCGTCTGCATGTTGAAACTCTCCCCGGACATGACCCGCGACCCTTCCGTTGTGCATGCATGTGGTGACGGAAGGCTTTCCCCGCAAACAGGGGACAAAATGTGGCACGAATCGACGAGCCTGTCATGGTTCGCGGCGTGCCCGCCATTTCGCGCAAAGCGTCTGGCGCGCCGATTTCTTAGCCGGCATAGTTAATAATGCGTAAAGAATGGGCCTGATTCAAACGGTTGAAACGATTTTCAAACTTTTAAAACGATTAATGGTTTGAGATTGTTTGGCAATTCTGTTTCACGCTGCGCACCCTCTTGCAATCAGGCAAGTGGCGCCGCCTCGGGGCGGCTCTCGTTTCGAACTGAAAACCGGTGACAGTCATGAAAGCACACGGCGTATTCAATACGGCCCAGGGATTGGAAAAGAACGGCATCGCAGGCGCGTCCGCCGTCTATTACAACCTGTCCGAGCCGCAATTGTACGAATACGCCCTGTCGCGTGGCGAAGCCGAACTGGCTGCGGGCGGCGCGCTTGTCGCGCGCACAGGCGAGCACACCGGACGCTCGGCCAAGGACAAGTTCGTCGTGCGCGACGGCATTGTCGAAGATCATGTCTGGTGGGACAACAACAAGCCGATGGCGCCCGATGCGTTCGAGCGGCTCTACACCGACATGCTCGCCGCAACCAACGGCAAGGAACTGTTCGTGCAGGACCTGACGGGCGGAGCCGACGCCGAGCACGCCATCAATGTACGCGTGGTCACGGAAAAGGCGTGGCACTCGCTGTTCATCCGCAATCTGCTGATCCGGCCGGATCGGGCGGCGCTGAAGAACTTCGCTCCGCAGATGACGATCATCGACCTGCCCTCCTTCAGGGCCGACCCGGTCAAGCATGGCTGCCGCACCGAAACGGTGATCGCCGTCGACCTGACGCGGATGATCGTGCTGATCGGCGGGACCTCCTATGCCGGCGAGATGAAGAAGTCGGTCTTCACCGCGCTGAACTATCTGCTGCCCGGCCGGGGCGTCATGCCGATGCATTGTTCGGCCAATGTCGGGCCGAACGGCGACGCCGCCGTCTTCTTCGGCCTTTCGGGCACCGGCAAGACGACGCTTTCGGCCGATCCCGAACGGACGCTGATCGGCGATGACGAGCATGGCTGGGGCCCGGACGGCATCTTCAATTTCGAAGGCGGCTGCTACGCCAAGACGATCCGTTTGAGCGCCGAGGCCGAGCCGGAGATCCATGCCACGACCCAGCGCTTCGGCACGGTTCTGGAAAACGTCATTCTCGACGCCGACCGCAAGCCCGATTTCGACAATGGCTCGCTGACAGAGAACACGCGCTGCGCCTATCCGCTGCATTTCATTCCCAATGCCAGCGACACCGGCAATGCGGGCCATCCGGCCAACATCATCATGCTGACCGCCGATGCGTTCGGCGTGATGCCGCCCATTGCCAAGCTCACACCGGCGCAGGCCATGTATCACTTCCTGTCGGGCTACACCGCCAAGGTGGCGGGCACCGAAAAGGGCGTGACCGAGCCCGAAGCGACCTTCTCGACTTGCTTCGGCGCGCCCTTCATGCCGCGCCATCCCTCCGAATATGGTAATCTGCTGCGCGAACTGATCGCCGAGCATGGCGTCGATTGCTGGCTGGTCAACACCGGCTGGACCGGCGGCGCCTATGGCGTCGGCCAGCGCATGCCGATCAAGGCGACCCGCGCCCTGCTGCGCGCCGCGCTCGACGGTTCGCTCAACGCCGCAGAATTCCGCACCGATCCCAATTTCGGTTTCGCCGTGCCGGTCGCGGTCGCTGGTGTCGATTCCTCGATCCTCGATCCGCGTTCGACCTGGGCCGACAAGGCGGCCTACGATGCGCAAGCGACCCGCCTGTCGTCCATGTTCCGCGACAATTTCGACAAGTTCGAAGGCCACGTCGATCTTGAGGTGATGGACGCGGCGCCGGTTTTTCTTGAGGCCGCCGAATAAGCGGCCACGACCTGTAGACATGATCCGATGAGGGGCGGCCGTACGCGGTCGCCCTTTTCATTTTGGCGCTTGAATGTGCATGGTGGGCGCGGAGGCCGCCATGAACCGATCTGCGCAATCGCCGCATATCCCGCTCGATTTTCAGCATCGATCCACCGATGAGATGACGGAACGGGCCGGCGCCTTCGCCGACCTGATGACCCGCCGGCGCACGGTGCGCGACTTTTCGCCCGAACCCGTGCCCCGGTCGGTGATCGAGGACTGCCTGCGGACGGCGGCGAGCGCGCCGTCGGGCGCCAACCAGCAGCCATGGCATTTCGGTGCGATCGGCGACCCGGAGACCAAGGCCCGCATTCGTCAGGCGGCCGAAGCCGAGGAGCGCGCCTTCTATGAAGGCCGCGCCGGCGATGAATGGCTGTCGGCGCTGGCGCCGCTCGGCACGGACGCGCACAAGCCGTTTGTCGAAACCGCGCCCTGGCTCATCGTCATCTTCGCCGAACGCCATGGCATCGATGCGGCCGGCGAGCGCGTCAAGCACTATTACGTGCCCGAATCGGTGGGCATCGCCACCGGCCTTCTGATCGCCGCCCTGCACAATGCAGGCCTTGCGACGCTGACCCATACGCCGTCGCCGATGGGCTTCCTGTCGGAGATTTGCGGGCGCCCCGCGCACGAGAAGCCGGTCATCCTGCTGGTCGCCGGCCGACCCGCTGAGGGCGCGAGCGTTCCGGCCATCACCCGCAAGCCCCTCGAAGATGTCACCACATGGATCGGTGGCGATGGCCGGTGATGCGCTCCGGCTGGCGAACGGCGCGGAGCTTCCCGCCTGGACGCTGACGGAGGCCTTCATCCATGCGTCGGGCCCGGGCGGCCAGAATGTCAACAAGGTGGCGACAAGCGTGCAACTGCGCTTTCAGGCCAGGGGCTCCGGTGTCTTCACCGATGCCCAGTTTGCGCGACTGATGCGGCTGGCTGGCCGGCGCGCCACCAAGGCCGGCGAGATCGTCATCGAGGCGAGCCGATACCGCACGCGCGAACGCAACCGGCAGGACGCGCGCGAGAGGCTCGCGGCGCTGGTCGACAAGGCGCTGCAGCCACCCCCTCCGCCGCGCCGCAAGACGCGCCCGACCCGCGGTTCGGTGGAACGGCGTCTGAAGGCCAAGGCCGGCCGTTCGGCGATCAAGAAGATGCGCGGTTCGGTGCATGACGACGAATAGCTGACCGGCGCGCCGAAGCGGCTGCCGAGCAAATGACTTGGATTTGTCATGCGACAGGTGCAATACACGTCGCGCAAACACTTCTATCGAGGGAGATGGGGAAATGGGATTTTTCGATTTTGTGAAGAGCGCCGGCAAGCGGCTCGGTTTCGGTGACGATGATGAAGCCAATGCCGAGGAACTCAAGCGCGAACTGGATTCGCACGGCCTTGGCACCGACGCGGTGCAGGTTGAGGTCAAGGGCGACACGGCGGTCATTCGCGGCGCCGTGGAGGATCAGTCGATCTTCGAAAAGGCCGTCGTCGCCGTCGGCAACACGCTCGGCATCTCGAAGGTCGAGGCGTCCGAACTCAAGGTCGTGCCGCCCGAAAGCGGTCTGAAGCTGGACGCCGGCGCCGACATGAACGCGATCATCGCCGCTGCGACCCCGGCCGCCGAGCCGAAGTTCCACACCGTGGAAAAAGGCGACACGCTGTGGGCGATCTCCGAGAAGGCTTATGGCAACGGCTCCAAATACGAGCTCATCTTCGAGGCGAACAAGCCGATGCTGACGCACCCGGACAAGATCTATCCCGGCCAGGTGCTGCGCATTCCCGACATCGCCGAGGCCTGAGACCGGCCGGCCGGCACGAAGGGCGGCCCGGCGCTGCCCTTCGTCTTGGCGCTTCATGCGTCCAATGACCCCCTTTTCGGCAACGCCATAAGCGAATAGAGAACCGGCCAGACGCCGCGCCCGCACGGGCGCCGGCGCAAAGGTGCAGCGCGGAGTGAAAGCGACGATGACCACCCTGTCGAACATGCCCAAAGTCGTCACCGTCTTCGGCGGATCCGGATTTCTCGGCCGCCATGTGACGCGGGCGCTGGCCAAGCGCGGTTACCGCGTGCGCGCCGCCGTGCGCCGGCCCGATCTGGCGTTCCATCTTCAGCCGCTCGGCGATGTCGGCCAGATTGCCGCCATCCAGGCCAATCTGCGCCACAAATGGTCGGTCGAGCGCGCCGTCGAAGGCGCCGATGCGGCGATCAATCTCGTCGGCATCCTGTTCGAGGGCGGCAAGCAGGGCTTTGACGCCGTGCAGGAATATGGCGCACGCTACGTCGCCGAAAGCTGCGACAAGGCCGGCATTCCGCTGGTCCATGTGTCCGCCATCGGCGCCGACCCGGATTCGGAGTCGCAATATGCCCGGTCCAAGGGCCGCGGCGAGCAATGGGTGTCGGAGACGCTGGGCGACAATGCGGTCATCATGCGCCCGTCCATCATCTTCGGGCCCGAAGACAATTTCTTCAACCAGTTCGCCTCCATGACGCGCTACTCGCCGTTCCTGCCGCTGATCGGCGGCGGCGAGACGAAATTCCAGCCGGTTTATGTGGGCGATGTCGCCGAGGCGATCGCGCGCGGAATCGACGGCCGGCTCAGGGGCGGCGCAACCTATGAGCTGGGCGGCCCGGAAGTGATGAGCTTCCGCAAATGCCTTGAAGAGATGCTGCAAGTCATCCAGCGCAAGCGCGCCCTTGTGAGTATTCCGTGGTGGGCGGCCTCCATGCAGGGCCGCTTTTTCCAGATGATGCCCGGCACGCCGCTCATCACCGAAGACCAGGTGCGCCTGCTGCGCACCGACAACGTCGTCTCGCAAGCGGCCGTCGATGATAGGCGCACGCTGGACGGCATCGGCATCGATGCGTCGACCGTCGAGGCGATCCTGCCCACCTATCTGTGGCGCTTCCGCGTGACCGGGCAGTTCCGGAACAATGTCGCCGCCGAGAAGGGCGAAGGCTGACGGACCGCCGGCCTTGACCCTCCTGCCGCCCGGCCTGGAAGGGCTTGAGGCGGCCTTTCTGATCGCCGCCAGCTACTTCACGTCCGCCATGACGGCAGCGTTCGGTATCGGCGGCGGGCTGACGCTTCTTGCCCTCATGGGACCGGTCGTTCCTGTTGCCGCGCTCATTCCCGTGCACGGCGTCGTCCAGCTCGGCTCCAATGCGGGCCGCGCCTGGCACATGCGGCGGCTTGCCGCCCCTCCCATCCTCGTGCCGTTCCTGGTCGGCAGTCTGGCCGGCGCATTTCTGGGCGCGCTGCTCGTCGTCGAATTGCCTGACACAGCGCTCAAGCTTATCCTCGGCCTGTTCGTGCTGGCCGTCACCTGGCTGAAGCTCCCGGCGCTCGCCTTCGCCTCGCCGGGTGTCATGGCCATTGGCGGCCTTGCCAGCACGTTTGCCACCATGTTCGTCGGTGCCACCGGGCCGCTGGTCAACGCCCTGTTCGCGCGTTCGTTCGCCGATCGCGGAAAGCTGGTCGCCAATGCCGCGCTCGCCATGAGTTTTCAGCACGGGCTGAAGGTGGCCGCGTTCGGCGCGCTGGGCTTTGCGTTCTGGCGATGGGTGCCGGTGATCGCGGCGATGATCGCCACCGGCTATCTGGGCACGATCACCGGCGCGCGCGTCCTGTCGGTCGTTCCGGAGCCTGTCTTCCGGCGCGTGTTCAAGCTTCTGCTGACCCTTTTGGCGCTCGACCTGATCCGCCGCGCGCTGCTGTGACCGTCAGCCCAGCAGCCACAGGCCCACCAGCCCCGCCGAACCGACGATGATCCGCCACCAGGCAAACAGGCCGAAGCCGTAGCGCGAGACATAGTCCAGCAGCATTCGCACGACGATGACGGCGACGATGAACGAGGTGATGAAACCGGTGGCGATGATCACCGCATCGTCCATCGTCAAAAGCGCGCGGTTCTGGAACAGGTCATAGGCGAACGCGCCCGCCATGGTTGGCATGGCGAGGAAGAAGGAAAACTCCGCCGCCGAGCGCTTGTCGGTGCCCATCAGCAATGCGCCGACGATCGTCGCGCCTGAGCGCGAAGTGCCCGGTACCATCGCCAGCACCTGGAACAGGCCGATCTTCAGGCAAAGCGATGGCGGATAGTCCATCACATCGGTATATCTGGGTTTCAGCGGCAGCCGGTCGATCCACAGCAGGATGAAGCCGCCGACGATGAGCACGATGCAGATCGTCATCGGCGATTCAAACAGGACGGTCTTGATGAAGCCGTGCGCCAGCACGCCGACCACGACCGCCGGCAGGAATGCCAGAAGGATGCCCAGAACAAACCTTTGTGTTTGCGGGTCCGATGGCAGGCGCGTGGCCATTTGCCACAGCCGCGCCGCATAGACGCTGACGATCGCGCCGATCGCGCCCAGCTGGATCAGCACCTCGAACGTCTTGCCGGTGGATTCAAAGCCCAGAAAGTGTCCCGCAAGCAGCAGATGTCCGGTGGACGAGACCGGTATGAATTCGGTCAGCCCTTCAAGAACGCCCAGAAGGGCGGCTGCAACGATTGTCTGGTCCGTCATGGAGGCTTTCTGCGGCGATCGTGTGAAGCGGGTCGTGCCGGCCTATACACCGATTGCGGTTAAAAAAACCCCGTCCGACGGCGTTTTTTCCGCCATTGTTGACGCCGCTTCGCAAATGCATGTCGCTTGACGGAAACCCGCCGGGGTCGCCACGGCGTTTGATGAGGTCGCAGAAACGAAAATTTTTGTAAGCGCTTTGACAAGCGTGCTGCCGTGTCCGAAGTTAGGGCACGCAATGCTACAACCCCGGGAGGCATGTATGGCATTTTTCAAACGCAACGGCGAGCGTATGCCCGAGCACATCGAGAAGCTGGCCGCGGACACCAAGGCCGGCAAGATGGATCGGCGCGAATTCCTCGCCCTGGCAACGACGTTCGGCGCCACCACCGCCGCCGCCTATTCGATGATCGGCATCGCAGCGCCGGGAAGGGCGTTGGCGCAGGAAGCCAAGAAAGGCGGCGTGCTGACCATCGCCATGGACGTGCGCGAACTGAAGGATCCGCGCACCTTCGACTGGTCGCAAATGGGCAATCTGGGCCGTCAGTTCCTCGAGCCGCTGGTCAAATACACCGTCGACTTCACCTTCGAGCCGATGCTGCTCGAAAGCTGGGAGATCAACGACGACGCCACCGAATACACGCTGCGCGTGCGGCAGGGCGTCAAGTGGAACAATGGCGACGACTTCAACGCCGACGACGTTATCTTCAACATCGAGCGCTGGTGCGAACGCGACGTCGAGGGCAATTCGATGGCCGCGCGCTTTGCGGCGATCATCGACGACGAGACCGGCAAGGCCGCCGAGGGCGCAATCGTCCGGGTCGACGATTTCACCGTCAAGCTGATGCTGCCGCAGCCGGACATCACGCTGATCGCCGGCATGGCCGATTATCCGGCCTTGGTCGTTCACCCCTCTTATGCGGACACGGGCGAACTGGTCGACAATCCGATCGGCACCGGTCCGTTCGAACTGGTCTCGTTCTCGATCGGCGACCGTGCCGAGTACAAGCGCCGCGAGGACGGTGCCTGGTGGGGCGGCGAGGCGCATCTCGACGAGGTGGTCTTCGTCGACTACGGCACCGACCAGTCGGCCCAGGTCTCCGCGTTCGAGTCGGGCGAGGTACAGGCCAACTACGAGGTGACCGGCGACTTCGTCGACATTTTCGAGGGCCTTGGTCTGACCAAGAACGAAGCCGTCACCGGCGCGACCGTTGTCGTCCGCACCAACGTCAACAACCCGCCCTATGACGATCAGCGCGTGCGTCAGGCGCTCCAGCTCGCCGTCGACAACAATGTCGTTCTGCAGCTTGGCATAGCCGGTCAGGGCACGGTGGCCGAGAACCACCACGTGGCACCGATCCACCCCGAATATGCCGAACTGCCGCCGATCAGCCGCGACATCGACGCCGCAAAGGCGCTGATGGAAGAAGCCGGCCAGATGGATTTCGAGCATGAGATCATCTCGATCGACGACGACTACCGCAAGAACACCACCGATGCGGTGGCGGCCCAGCTTCGCGAGGCCGGGTTCAAGGTCAAGCGCACGGTGCTCCCCGGCTCGACCTTCTGGAACGACTGGACGAAATATCCCTACTCGTCCACCAACTGGAACCACCGCCCGCTCGGCGTGCAGATCCTTGCGCTCGCCTACCGGTCCGGCGAAGCCTGGAACGAAGCCGGCTATTCGAACCCGGAGTTCGACGAGAAGCTGACCCAGGCCCTGGCGATCGCCGACGCCGACCAGCGGCGTGAACTGATGGTCGATATCCAGCGGATGCTGCAGGAATCGGGCATTATCATCCAGCCCTACTGGCGTTCGCTGTTCAACTTCAACGACGCAACCGTCCAGAACTACTACCAGCATCCGACCTACGAGCTGGATCTGGCCGATGTCTGGCTCGACACCTGACGGGGCCTGAAACCAGGGCGCAGCCGGAACCGGCTGCGCCTTTTCGCTACAGGGGCAAGGCGGCCGCAAGAAGCCGTCTGCACGTCTCGCGCCATCGCGCGTCTTGGGGAGAAGCAGCTTGATCTCGTTCTTTGTCCGGCGTCTGGGAATCATGGCCTTGACCATGCTCTGCCTGACACTCGTCGTGTTTTTCCTCGTCAATCTCGAACCCAATCTGCGCAAGCTCTCCATCAGCCAGACCAACATGCGCGCCTCCGATGCGCAGATCGAAAGCTGGCTTGTGCGCAACGGCTATCGCGACAATTTCTTCGTCCGCTACGGCCAGTGGCTGGGCGTCGTCCAGAAGCAACCCCTCGTCGATCCTGAAACCGGCGAGGCGACACCGCGCTTCCGCTTTTGCGACGAGCCGGCCGAGGCGCGCTTTTCCGGCGTCATCCAGGGCGATTTCGGCTGTTCGACACGCTTCAAGGTGCCGGTTTCCGAACGCCTTGTGCCAGCCCTTCAGGCCACCGGCTGGCTGATGTTCTATGTCATGCTCGTCATGGTGCCCGGAGCGCTGCTCGTCGGCATTTTTGCCAGCATGCGCGAAGGGTCACGAACCGACCGAAGTCTGTCGGTGGCTTCGATCGCATCGACGGCGACGCCCGAGTATGTGTCCGGCGTCATCTTCACCGTCATATTCGCGTCCTGGCTCGGCATATTGAACGGGTCGGCCGCGACCGCGACGCGCGAGGGCATCACCTTTTCCAACTTTACCCTGCCGGTCATGACCATGGCGATCTACGGCATGGGCTACATTGCCCGCATGACGCGCGCGTCGATGGCCGAGGTGATGACCGCGCAATATATCCGCACGGCGCGCCTGAAAGGGCTGACCTTCTCATCGGTCGTCATCAAGCATGCGCTGCGCAACGCGCTGATCGCGCCCTTCACCGTGATCATGCTGCAGTTCCCGTGGCTTTTGACCGGCGTCGTCATCGTCGAGGCGATGTTCCGCTATCAGGGCTTTGGCTTCACGCTGGTCGAAGCAGCGTCGAACAACGATATCGACCTGCTGCTCGCCTGCGCGCTCGTTTCCGTCGTCGTCGTTCTGGTCACCCAGCTGCTCAGCGACGTCGGCTACGCCTTCCTCAATCCGCGCATCCGCGTCTCGTGAGCGCATAAGGGGGCGCACAATGGAAACTCTGTCCACATTCGAAATCGTCATCCAGATCATCTGGCGTTTCTGGCCGGTCTGGGCCGCGATGATCATCATCGGCACCCTGAGCTACATGTATCGGGACCGGCTCGGCCTTTACGGCCAGCTCTATGATGGCGGCGTCGGGATCGCCGGCCTGGTCTTTATCGGCTTCTGGCTGTTCTCGGCGCTGTTCGCGTCGATCATCGCGCCGTTCGACCCGATCGGGGTGGTGCCGATCCTCAAGAACGCGGTGCCCGGCACCATCGACCCTGAATCCGGCAATGCGTTCCTGCTGGGCGGCGACAAGCTGGCCCGCGACGTGTTCAGCCGCATGGTGTACGGTTCCCAGATTGTTCTGATCATCGCGCCGGCCGCCACCGCCTTCGCATTGATGGTCGGCATCACGCTGGGCCTGCCGGCGGGCTATTACGGCGGACAGGTCGACAACGTCCTGTCCTTCATCGCCAACCTGGTCCTGGCCTTCCCGGTGATCCTTCTGTTCTATCTGCTGGTCACGCCGGGCATCACCGAGACGCCGATCCCCTACACGCTGGCCGGCCTGTTCTTCATCTTCCCGGTCATCTTCTTCGTCACGCTCTTCTACACGCGCTATCAGGCGCGTCCGCAATTCATGTGGCCTGCCATCGCAGTGACCATAGTCCTGGGCACATGGATCTGGATCTCGCTCGTTTCCAACGATTTCATCGTTCAGGCGCTGCGCAACAACGGGCTTGGCTTTGTCGGGGCGTTTTTCGACCTGCCGGTCTTCAAGATCATCTCGATCGAACCGGGCCAGCTCAACATCTTCGTCGCCGTCGTCTTCGCATCGTCACCCGGCGTGTTCCGCATCACGCGGGGTCTCGTCATGGACATCAAGACGCGCGACTATGTCGCCGCCGCCCAGACGCGCGGCGAAAGCCCCTGGTACATCATGCTGTGGGAAGTGCTGCCCAACGCACGCGGCCCGCTGATCGTCGATGCCTGTCTGCGCATCGGCTACACGACGATCCTGCTGGGCACGCTGGGCTATTTCGGGCTCGGCATGCCGCCCGAAAGCCCCGACTGGGGCACGGCCATCAAGGACGGCTCGCAGCTCCTGCGGCTCTACGTCTGGCCGGCGCTGGTGCCCGCCGTCGCGCTGATGAGCTTCGTGCTCGGCCTCAATCTTCTCGCCGACGCGCTGCGTGAAGAATCGCTGAAAGACTGAGGGAGGGAACAATGTCAGCCAACACTGAAATCACTCCCGCAACCGGCGGCGTTCCGGCGCCCGCCACCGACCAGACCCCGATCCTCGAGATCGAGAACCTGCACATCTCGTTCTACACCCGTGCCGGCGAAATTCCCGCCGTCATGGACTATTCGTGCAAGGTCATGCCGGGCGAGGCGCTCGGCATTGTCGGCGAATCGGGCTGCGGCAAGTCGACGGTCGCGCTCGGCATCATGCGCGACATGGGCAACCGCGGACACATCAAGTCCGGCACGATCCGCTTCAAGGGCCGTGACATGGGCGAGATGAGCGATGCCGAACTGCGCGACCTGCGCGGATCGAAGATCGCCATGATCTACCAGGAGCCGATGGCGTCGCTCAATCCGGCGATGAAGATCGGCCAGCAGCTTATGGAAGTGCCGATCGTCCATGAGGGCGTTTCCAAGCAGCAGGCCTATGACCGCTCCATCGAGATGCTCGAAGCGGTGCGCCTGCCCGATCCCAAGCGTGTGATGAGCTCCTATCCGCACCAGATTTCCGGCGGCCAGCAGCAGCGTGTCGTCATCGCCATGGCACTCCTGTCCAACCCCGAACTTCTGCTTCTGGACGAACCGACCACCGCGCTCGACGTGACGGTCGAGGCCGGCATCGTCGAGCTGGTCAAGGATCTAGGCAAGAAATACGGCATGTCGATGCTGTTCATCTCGCACAATCTGGGCCTGATCCTGGAGACCTGCGACCGCATCTCGGTGATGTATTCGGGCGAGGCCGTGGAGACGGGCGACGTCGCCGATGTGTTCGACCGGATGCGCCACCCCTATACGCAGGGCCTGTTCCGATCGATCCCTTTGCCCGGCGCGGACAAGAATTCGCGCCCGCTGATCGCCATTCCCGGCCAGCTGCCACTGCCGCACGAGCGACCCCATGGCTGCAATTTCGGCCCGCGCTGCCATCACTTCGTGGAAGGCGAGTGCGATGCCGGTCCGATCTCGATGATTCCGGTCAAGGGTCATCACGATCACAACAGCCGGTGTGTCCGGTTCGACGAGATCGACTGGAAGGCGATGCCCGACGGCATCGCGCAGAACGATCCGGTCGAGCCCGGCGCGCCCGTGCTGCAGATCGACAATTTGAAAAAATATTACGACGTGGCCGCCAACGCGATCTTCGGCGGCGGAGAAACCCGGACCGTCAAGGCCAACGAGACGATCTCGTTCACCGCGCGGGAGGCGGAAACCGTCGCCATCGTCGGCGAGTCGGGTTGCGGAAAGTCGACGCTTGCAAAGGTTCTGCTCGGGCTTGAAACGGCAACCGAAGGCACCGTGACGCTCGGCAACCGGGAGATACAGGGCATCGAGGTCGAGAACCGCGGCGCCGATCTGGTCTCCTCGATCCAGATGGTCTTCCAGAACCCGTTCGACACGCTCAATCCCAGCCACTCGGTCGGCAGCCAGATCATCCGCACGCTCGAAAAGTTCAATTTCGGCAACTCGACCGAGGAGCGGCGCGAGCGCATGCTGGAACTGCTCGATCTGGTCAAGCTGCCGCGCGCCTTCGAAACGCGGATGCCGCGTCAGCTTTCCGGCGGCCAGAAACAGCGCATCGGCGTTGCCCGCGCCTTTGCCGGCGGGCCGAAGGTTGTCGTCGCCGACGAGCCGGTATCGGCGCTCGACGTGTCGGTCCAGGCGGCCGTCACAGAGCTCTTGATGGACATTCAGCGCGAGTCGCGCACCACCATGCTGTTCATCAGCCACGACCTGTCCGTCGTGCGTTACATCGCCGACCGCGTGGTGGTGATGTATCTCGGTCACATCGTCGAGCAGGGCACGACCGACCAGATCTTTTCGCCGCCCTACCATCCCTATACCGAGGCGCTCTTGTCGGCCATTCCGATCGCCGACACGTCGGTCCAGAAGAAGCACATCGTTCTGGACGGCGACATTCCCTCGGCGCTCAATCCGCCTCCGGGCTGCCCGTTCCAGACGCGCTGCCGCTGGAAGGAGCGCGTCTCCGGCAACAAGTGCGAAACCGAAGTGCCGGGTTACGTGGAATGGGGCGAAGGCCACTTCATGAAATGCCACCTGTCCCGCGACGAACTTGAGTCCATGGAGCCGGTGATTTCTTTCGAGGCAAAGGAGGACTCGGTCGAGGACGCCTCCAAGATCGTCGATCTGGACGCGGTCAAGAAGGCGCCCGTGCAGAAGAAGGCCGATGCCAGGCGCGACAAGGCCGTCGCCGCCGTCGCGGATACCGGCGACACGGGGTCGGCAAAGACCAAAGCGACCAAGAAGACCAAGCGAGCGAAAGCCGAGGCGGCCAAGTCCAGGGGCGGCAAGTCCAGGGGCGGCAAGTCTTCGCTCGATGATCCCGACCGTCCGTCATCCATGGAACGTCCGGACGTGCCCGACGATCTCAAGCAGATCTCCGGGGTCGGCCCGAAGCTTGAAGGCACGCTGAACGGGCTCGGCATCTACACGTTCGAGCAGGTCGCGGCCTGGAAGAAGCCTCAGCGTGACTGGGTCGACAGCTATCTGAGCTTCAAGGGACGGATCGACCGGGACGGCTGGGTCAAGCAGGCCAAGGCGCTGGCCAGAAAGAAGACCGGGGGCTGACGGCGATGGGGGCGGCGGTTGCCGATACCGCTGCGTTGCCGGACGGGCCGGTTGGCCGGTGCGAGGCGCTCGCCCGGTTCCACCGGATCTACACCGCTCAAGAGGCATTGCCTGCCCCGGTCGTGCATCAGGCGCGGCGTTGCCTGCTTGATCTCATCGGTGTTGCTGCCGCCGGCAGCCGCACCGAACTGGCCGGCCTGATCGCAGGCCATGCATCCTCCCAGTTCGGAGCCGGGCCCGGAGTCGACACCGCAACCATCCTGTTCGACAGCCGTGCGCGCAGCGCGTCCGCCGCAGGCGCGGCGCTCGCCGGCGGGATGACGATCGATGCCATCGACGCCCATGACGGTCACCCGCTGACCAAGGGCCATGCCGGGTGCGGGCTTTTCCCCGCGCTTCTGGCCATCGCCGAGACCGAAGCGCCGGACATGCCGCTGGACGAATTTCTGGCTCATCTGACGATCGGCTATGAGATCGCCATCCGCTGCGGCATCGCCCTGCATGCGACGGCGCCCGATTACCACACCTCCGGCGCCTGGGTCGCGGTGGGCGTGGCATTGTCGGGGGCGCTGATGACCGGCGCGAACTCCGAGATTGTGCGCCATGCGGCGGGGATCGCCGAATATCACGGCCCGCGCAGCCAGATGATGCGCTGTATCGACCACCCCACCATGCTCAAGGACGGCTCGGGCTGGGGCGCGATGGCCGGCATGTCCGCGCTGATGCTCGCCCGGTCCGGGTTCACCGGCGCGCCGGCGCTGACCGTGGAAGAAGCCGCCGTCACCGGCATCTGGTCCGATCTCGGCACGTGCTGGCGCATCATGGAGCAGTATTTCAAACCCTGGCCGGTCTGCCGCTGGGCGCAGCCGGCCGTCGAGGCGGCCCTCGGCCTGAGGTCCGAACATGGTGTGGCGCCCGACATGATTGCGCGCATCCGGGTGCGCACATTTCACGAGGCGATCAGGCTGGCGACGGTATCGCCGGCCGACACTGAACAGGCGCAGTACGCGTTGCCGTTTCCGGTCGCCGCCGCGCTCGTGCATGGCCGCCTCGGCGTCGCGCAGATCAGCGGCGAAGGATTGCGGGACGCGACCGTTCTCGATCTGGCGGAGCGGGTCGAACTGTCGGAAAGCGCCGCCTTCAACGACCTTTTCCCGGCCGAGCGCTGGGCGGAGGTGGAGCTTGAACTGACCGGCGGACGCGTGCTGGCATCAAAGCCGCTGACCGCGCGGGGCGATGCCGACGCGCCGCTTTCCGACGCCGAGATTTCTTCGAAGTTCCACGCCCTGATGGACGAGGCCGGCTATGGCGATCGCGCTACCCGGATCGAGGACATGATGATGGCCGGCGCCGCCACACCGGCCACGGTCAGCGATCTGGTCGCCTGCTGTTCGGCTTCATCCTGACTTTCGTCTCCAGAACGTCGCTCCACTCCGGATGGCGCTTGAACTGCGCCGCCGCAAACGGGCACAGCGGAATGATCTTCGTGCCCGATGCACGCGCGTCCGCGATAAGCGTCTCGACCAGACGGACACCGGTTCCAGTGCCCCGAAAAGCGTCCGGCACCTCGGTATGGTCGATGATGATCAGCGTGTCGCTGGCCTGGGAAAACGTCATCTCCGCCGTCACGCCGCCCGGCGCCTCGATGAAGTAGCGGCCCTTGGGCCCATCCTTTTCGACCGTGATGGGCAGCATACGGGGGTCGACAAGCGCGCCGCGTGCCGCATTGAGCCATGCGATGATGCGCTGGGTTTCTTCCTCTGTGATCTCCGCGCCGCCACGGTTCCAGAAGACATCGGTCTTCGCGCCGGCCGTGTCCAGCGCATCGGCGAGCGCGCCGATGGCCGCCGGTGGCGTCTCGGGATCGGTCGCTCCGGCGGTGATCAGCACGGCGCGACCCTCGATCCCGTCCGGCGCGATGGTGTCGGTTGGCGCGAGCGGGTGCAGCAGCGCCACCGGACCGTCCGGCACGGACGGCGCAAACCACGCGATGACCATGTCGGCCTCCCGGCCGTGGGCGATGATGATCGCACGGTCTGCGGCGTCGCGGCCAACCGATTCCGCGATCCAGCTAGTCAGGCCGGCAGCTTCGGCGATGGCATCCGGAGGTGCGGTTCGCACGATGACGTCTCTCGCATCGAGCAGTGTCGCCGCAATTGTCTGGAACAGGGCCTGCGCATCTGCGGCCCCACCGACCATGAGCACCGGCGTCGGCGGCGCGCCTTGTTCCCCGTCGCTCATGTCAAATGCCCCAGCGGCAGCTTGGCCGGTCCCTTGTGGTTCTTCAGGACCAGGTTGGTCCGCACGTCGCGCACGCCATCGAACTTCAGCAGGGTGCCGCCGATGAAATCGTTCAGCGCCTCCACATCGGTCACAACGACCTGGAGCATGAAGTCGAAATCGCCCGTCAGCGACCAGCAGGCGACGACTTCGTCGAGCCGCCCGACCATGGCGATGAACCGTTCAGGGGTATCGTCCGCATGGCTGCCAAGGCGCACCTGCACGAACACCTCCACCTCGAGCCCCAGCGCGCGCCGGTCGAGTCGCGCGACGATGGCGCGGATGGCGCCGCTTTCGGTCAGCCGGTCGAACCGCCGGGCGCATGGCGTCGCCGACAAGCCGACATCGGCGGCCAGATCGGTGATCGTCCGGCGGCCGTCGCGTTGCAGCACGTTGAGCATCGCCACCTCGAATGGATCGAGTGAAATCATCTCGAAATTCCCTCAAACTGGGAGAAAGTCACCGAATTCCTTGCACGGGCGGGTCGATTAAGTCAATTCGCCGTCGCTGCCGCTGGTAGAATGGGGCGTAAACCCTCGAGGAGGCCGCCATGTCCATGACCGTATCGCAATATGCCGCCGAATGCGCCGCCCAGGGCATGCGGGGCGACTATACCCGCTGCCGCGCCGATTTCACCGTGCCGCAGGACTACGGCGTCTATTCCGAAGCCGACCAGGCGGTGTGGCGCACGCTGTGCGACCGGCAGACGAAGCTGACCGAGCGCCATGCGCACCATTCCTATCTCGACGGTGTCGCCGCGCTCGGCCTCATCGACCGCGTGCCGGACTTTGAGACGGTCAGCGCGAAGCTTTCGGCAATGACCGGCTGGACGCTGGTCGCCGTGCCGGGCCTCATCCCCGCCGAACCCTTTTTCGATCATCTCGCCAATCGGCGCTTTCCGGTGACCAACTGGCTGCGGTCGATGGACGAACTCGACTACATCGTCGAACCGGACATGTTCCACGATTTCTTCGGCCACGTGCCGATCCTGACCCAGCCCGATTTCGCCGACTTCATGCAGCGTTATGGCGAAAAGGCGCTGGAGCTGATCCCGCTGGGCGGCGACCGCATGGTCACGCGGCTTTATTGGTACACCGCAGAGTTCGGTCTAATCCGCGAGCCGGGTCAGGATCTGAAAGTGTTCGGCGCCGGCCTGATGTCGTCCTTTTCCGAGCTGCAGTTCGCCGCCGAAAGCGGCAAGGCCAACCGCGTGCCGATGGACATCGAGACGATCATGCGCACCGGCTACGAGATCGATGCCTTCCAGCGCGCCTATTTCGTCCTGCCATCGTTCGAGGCGCTCAACCGCCAGATGGCCGAAAGCGACCTTGCCGCCATCGTCAGGCGTTACAAGGATGAGGCGCCGCTCGATCCGGCGGCTCTGCCGGCACGCAAGGCGGCCGCCTAGGCCAGAACGAGCACGATCACGCCGGCGGCGACCAGCGCGCAGCCGGCGATTTCCGCCCGGTTCACCGGTTCGCGGAAGATCAGAACCGTCGTTGCATAGGCAAACAGCATTTCGATCTGCGCGAGCGCCTTGACTGCGCCCGCCTGCTGCAGCGTCATCGCCGAAAACCAGCCGAACGAGGCCAGTGCGCCGGCCAGTCCCGCCAGCGTACCGACCCGCCAGGCGTCGGCGATGCGGCGCAGTTCCGCCCGGTCGCGGACGAGCATCCAGACAAGGATGACGGCGGTCTGGATGGTGATCGCCACGCACAGCGTCAGCCCCGCCTGCACCAGAAAGTTCGGACCGGCAAGACTGAGCGAGGCGGCGCGAAAGGCAACCGCCGCAAGTCCGAAGAACGTGCCCGAGGCGAGGCCGATCAGGGCCGTCGGCGAGGCCAGAAGCGCCAGCGGCGACCGGCTGCGCGCCATCTCGCCGACGGGCTGCCGCGCAAAGGTCAGCGCGATCACGCCGCCGACCGAAATGGCCACTGCGATCAGAACCGACGCCGGCGCGCGTTCACCGAGAAGGACGAGCCCGAAGATGACCGCCTGCACCGGCTCGGTCCTCGAATAGGCCGAGCCGACGGCGAAACTGCGCCGGGTGAACATGATGACGAGCAGCGCCTGCGCGAAGATCTGCGCGAACGCCCCGACCGTGACCCAGAGCCAGAAGGCGGGTTTCGTCTCCGGAAGCGCGCTTGCGGTCAGCCACAGGGCGAGGGCGAGTAGCGCGAACGCGACCGGCAGGCCGAAGCCGAAACGCACGAAGGTCGCCCCCGTCGTGCCCATCTGCATGCGCAGATGGCGCTGCAGCCCCGAGCGAAGGTTCTGCACGAAGGCTGCGGCGATCGTGATCGGTATCCAGAGTTCCATGGGTCCCCGCGAGCGCTGCCGCGCCGGTTTTTGTTTCGGGCCGTGACCGGCTGTGCCATAACACGGCCATGAACGTCCATGCTCCGAAACCCTCCGATTTCGCCCATGTCCGTGAATGGGTTTTCGATCTCGACAACACGCTCTACCCGCACCATTCCAACCTGTTTTCGCAGATCGATGTGGCGATGACCGGCTATGTGTCGGAGTTGTTGCAGGTGCCGCGCGACGAGGCGCGCAAGGTCCAGAAGGACTATTACAAACAGTATGGCACGACGCTGGCCGGCCTCATGCAGCGCCATGATGTCGACCCGGACGATTTTCTCGAGAAGGTCCACGATATCGACTATTCGTGGCTCGATCCCGATCCGGCGCTTGGCGATGCCATCCGCGCGCTGCCGGGGCGAAAGTTCATCTTCACCAATGGCGACAAGGGCCATGCCGAGCGCGCCGCGCGCCAACTTGGCATTCTCGACCATTTCGACGAGATCTTCGACATCGTCGCCGCCGATCTGGTGCCCAAGCCGGCCGGCGCGACCTATGACAAGTTCCGCGCGCTCCACCGTGTTGATTGCACACGCGCCGCCATGTTCGAGGATCTGGCGCGCAACCTGACGGTTCCCAAGCAATTGGGCATGAAGACCGTGCTGATCGTTCCGCGCAATTTCGAGGCGGCTTTCTCCGAGATCTGGGAGCGGGACGATGTCGACGATCAGGTCGACCACGTCACCGACGATCTGGCCGGTTTTTTGAGGGCCATCCTGCCGGGCCTTTGACGGCGCTGCCTGGCCAACAAGAATGGTGCCGCTGATAGGACTCGAACCTACGACCCCATCATTACGAATGACGTGCTCTACCAACTGAGCTACAGCGGCCTGCCAAACGCAGAGCGACCTACTATCGCCCTACTATATTCTTCATGTCCCCGCCTACCCACTGGCTTCGAACGTCATTCTCTAGCGGACCCGCTAATTACGAATGACGTGCTCTACCAACTGAGCTACAGCGGCGCCGGGGCGGACGGGACGCGGCGCATCACCGGTTCCGTCCGCCGACGAGCGCTTTAGCGGCGCGCCGGACCAAGATCAAGTGGGTCTTGGCCCGCCGCGCCGTTCCCCGGGCGGCAAGCCGCGTTCGGTGTGACGACCCGGCCGCGGCTGCCGGTGCAAGGTCTCAGCCTTCGCGGCGATCAGACGACCACGATCGGCGCAGGTGTCGGCACCCGGTTGTACAGGTCGATCACATCCTGCTGCATCATCCGGACGCAGCCCGACGACACCGCCTTGCCGATCGTCCAGTATTCCGGCGATCCGTGCACCCGGTAGAGCGTATCGACGCCATCGTCGAAGATGTAGAGCGCGCGGGCGCCCAGCGGGTTGTCGAGGCCCGGCGGCATGCCGCCATTGCGGACGCTCCAGCGCTCGAGTTCCGGCTGGCGCGCGATCATCTCGTCCGGCGGCGTCCAGGTGGGCCATTGACGCTTGTAGGCGACGCGTCCGCGGCCCGACCATTCAAACCCGGCGCGCCCGAGCCCGACGCCGTAACGCATCGCCTGGCCGGCTTCCTGCACCAGGTACAAAAAGAAGTTGGCCGTGTCGACGACCAGCGTGCCCGGCGGCTCGGGTGTCGGATAGGCGACCTGCTGGCGCCAGAATTGCGGCGGCACCTTGGAGATGTCGATCGCCGGCAGAGGAAAACGCTCGCCTGGCATCGGGCCGTAGGCGGCGACGACCGTCGGGGACGGCCGCGAGGGCGCCGGCGGTTGGGTGGCGATGTCGGCGGCGCGGCGCGACGGGCCTGCCGTCGTGCAGCCCGCAAGGCCGAGCCCGGCCAGGCTCGCCGCACCTGCGGCAAACCGGCGTCGTGTCAACGATGTCCGTGTCATCCCAGCACCACCACGCGCGTTCCCAGCGGGACCCGTTCGTAAAGGTCCTCGACATGGGCGTTGATCATCCGGATGCAGCCGTTGGAAACGGACTGCCCGATGCTCCAGGGTTCGGTGGTGCCGTGAATGCGGTACATGGTGTCGCGATTGCCTTTGTATAGATAAAGAGCCCGCGAGCCGAGCGGGTTGCCCGGCCCTCCGGGCACGCCGTTCGCATATTTGGCATATCGGGCAGGATTGCGGCGGATCATGTTGTCGGTCGGCCGCCAGCTCGGCCATTCGGCCTTGCGGCGGATGACCGCGTCGCCCCGGAAGGCAAGGCCGGCCCGGCCGACGCCGACGCCATAGCGGCGCGCGCGTCCCGGCCGCTCGACAAGATAGAGGAAGTGGTTGCGCGGATCGACGACGATCGTGCCGGCCGGATAGCCGGTAAAGCGCACCGGTTGCGGCTCGAATTTCGGATCGAGCTTGAACTCGCGATAACGTTTGGAATGGTGGGCAAGCGCGGGCGCGGTGGTCAGCATCAGACCCGCGGCGGCGCCGGCGGCAAACAGACGTCTGGTAATCATGGGAAACTCCTGATCGGCATGGGTCGGTCGGGCACGGTCGCGCGCCCGGTCGCGGCGGATGCGTCAGGCGATCGGCGGCTTGTTCGGCAACCGTCCATGATGGGCCCTTGCATGACAGGGCGGAGCGTCCGCTTCGGCGGGGATCAGCGTGCTGGCCGCAAGCCGGTGCTGCGGCATCAGGAACACACAGTCGCCATGCCCATGACAGGGACCCGCCTGCACCTCCGACGCCGCCTGCGCTGTGTCATCGATCCGATCGCCGGTCTTTACGATCTGGGACATGTCGGGCAGGGCCGGCGCCGCGGTCGCCTCAATGGTCGTCCCGGTACAGCTCAGCGTATTGCCCGCCGCACGGTCCAGCGCCGCCGCATGGGTGGCCAGGACTGAGACGAGCAGCAATAGGGCGGTCACGAAACGCATCGGTCAACTGTTAGCCAAGTCATGGTGAATGCACCATGAACGCCCATTCACGAGGTCGTGAGTGTTGCGGCGCCGCAACAGCCGCCGGTGCCGGTCTCAAACGCGTCAGCCACAGATTTCCGCGCGTGCAGCCGCATACTCGGCATCAAGCTGGTCGACATAGTCGGCGACCGGCCGCACAGCCTTGACCGCGCCAATCCCCTGACCGCAACCCCAAATGTCCTTCCACGCCTTGGCGCCGGTGGCTTGGGAGAAATCCATCTTGGAGGGGTCGGCTTCGGGCAGGTCGTCCGGGTCCATGCCGGCCTTTGCGATGGACGGCTTGAGATAGTTGCCGGAAATGCCGGTGAAATAGTTCGAATAGACGATGTCCTTGGCTTCGCTGTCGACGACCATCTGCTTGTAGTCGTCGACGGCGCGCGCCTCCTCGGTCGCGATGAAGGGCGAGCCGATATAGGCCATGTCGGCGCCCATCGCCTGGGCGGCGAGCACCGCCTGCCCCGTGGCGATCGAGCCCGACAGCAGCAGCGGGCCGTCGAACCATTCGCGGATTTCCTGGATCAGCGCGAACGGCGAAAGCGGGCCGGCATGGCCTCCGGCGCCGGCCGCTACCGCGATCAGCCCGTCGGCCCCCTTGCGGATTGCCGAATTGGCGTGCCGGTTGTTGATCACATCGTGCAGCACGATGCCGCCATAGGAATGGATCGCCTGGTTGACCTCCGGAACGGCGCCCAGCGACGAGATCACGATCGGCACCTTGTATTTGACGCACATCGTCAGATCGTGTTCGAGCCGCTTGTTGGAGGTGTGCACGATCTGGTTGACGGCGAACGGCGCCGCCGGCCGCTCTGGATGGGATGCGTTGTGGGCCGCAAGCTCTTCGGTGATCTGGGCCAGCCACTCGTCGAGCTGGCTTTCGGGCCGTGCATTGAGCGCCGGAAACGAGCCGACGATGCCCGCCTTGCACTGGGCCAGCACCAGCGGCGGGTGGGACAGGATGAACATGGGCGCGGCCACGACGGGCAGCCGCAGATCGGTCTTCAAAATGTCGGGAAGGGCCATCGGTCGCTCAAAATTTTGACGTTTGCGTAAAAGTAAGATTTAGCAGGTTTCCACACCGGCGCAAGCGGCAAGCGGGCCTCTTGGGTGCGAGGAACGCCTCCTGGCCGAGCCGGCAGACCGACTTTGCTGTCGACAAAGGAGGGCATCCGGCGCGGGAAAGGGTCATGGGCTTTTCACATTTGTGCAATTGTGCCATGCCCGTGCCAAGGGCGGCCATATCAACATGGGCCGCCGGACCGGATGGGGAACGGGGCGGTGACTTCTCTGGAGACAGCATTGCGCAAGGCCCTCGCCAAGGGCGATGCCAATGATCCGGCCTTCCGGCGCCGCGTCTATGAGGCCGCGGCCTCGGCGATGCAGCGCTCGCTGACCGCGCGCGGGGAAGTCACGCCCGATGCCCTCGCCGCGCAGACCAGCCGGTTGAGCGAGGCGATCGAGGCGATTGAACGCGAGACGCGGGCACCGCAATCCGCCGCTGCCCCGCCGCCTTCCGCCCCGCCTGTGACGCCCGATGTAGCGGCGCCCGAGGCACCGGACGTGCCGCCCGTGGCCGCCGATCCGGACGTCTCGCCAACCGCCGACATTCCCGCCGTCGATGCGCCGTCATCGCCTGCGGGGCCGGACGCCGGCCTTTACGTCGAGCCGCGTGCCGACGCCGCCCGTGCCGAGGCCGAAGCGGTGCGGGCCGAAACCGAGCCGCCGGTACCCCGCTCGCCGCTGCGCATCGATCGCGGGCCGTTCGCCACCGGATTTGCCGTCATTGTCGCGGCCGCCCTGGTGTTTGGCGGTCTGTGGTGGGTCATTACCTCGGGCGCGTTCGTCAGCGAGGAGGCGCGCGACACCTCCGTACCCAATCCGCCGGCCCAGTTGCGCGACGAGGATTTTGCCGGCGACGGCGCACGGGAGGGATCGGCGCCACGCACCGCCGCGCAACTCGATGATGGCGATTGGGTGACCCTGTTCACGCCTGCCGATCCCGCCGCGCTGAGTCTCGAAGGCGGCGCGACGGCATCGATCGAGACCGATCCGTTCGGCGATTACGCCCGTTTGGTCACGCCCGCCGGCGAGGGCCGCGTGTATATCGACGTACCCGTCGGCACGCTGCAGATGCTGGCCGGAAGCCGCGCCCAGATCAGCCTGAACGCCCGCTCCGACGATGGCGAGCCGACGCAGATGTCGGTGACCTGCGATTTCGGCCCGCTGGGCGATTGCGGCCGGCGCCGCTTCGATGTCGGCCAGTCGGAAGCAGAGTTTCTGTTCCATGTGGACCTGCCGGCGGGCGCCGCCCCGTCAGAGCCCGGTTTCCTGATCCTTCAGTCCGACATCGAGGCTGACGGCCGGGCGATCAACCTCTTGTCGGCGCGCATCCGCGCCGACCCGGGCTGACCGCGGCCGTTCAGTCGTCGAGCATTTCCAGTCCCTCGCCGACGATCCTGGGGTCGGGCTCGCCGATCAGCGCCATGTCGCGGCCCTCGAACGGGATCGCCGTCAGAATGTGGCGCAGAACCTCGATCCGGCCGCGCCGCTTGTCGTTGAATCGGACCACGGTCCACGGCGCATGCCGGGTATGGGTGGCGGCGATCATCCGGTTGCGGGCCCGCGTGTAGTCGTCCCATTTGTGCATGCCGACAATGTCGATATCCGACAGCTTCCAGTGCTTGAGCGTGGAATGGCGACGGTCATGAAACCGCTTGAGCTGCGTCTCGCGGCCGATGTTGAGCCAGAACTTGAAAAAGTGGATGCCCTCATCGACGATGATGCGCTCGAAATTGGGCGCATCCCCCAGAAAGGCCGTGTGCTGTTCGGGCGTGCAGAACCCCATCACCGGTTCCACGCCGCCGCGATTATACCATGACCGGTCGAAGGCGATGATCTCGCTTTCGGTCGGAAAGTGGTCGACATAGCGCTGGAAATACCATTGACCGCGCTCGCGGTCCGACGGTTTTGGCAGGGCGACCGCGCGCGCGTTGCGCGGGTTCAGATACTGCCGGAACCGGCTGATCGTACCCCCTTTGCCCGCCGCATCGCGCCCCTCGAAAACAGCGATGATCCGCTCGCCCGACTGCCCGATATGGCTTTGCAGCAGCACCAGCTGTTCCTGCAGAGCGCGCAACCGGTCGTTATAGGCATCGCGATCCATGCGCTCGTCATAGGGATAATCGCCGGATGTAAGCACATTGTCGTCGACCCAGTCGGGCAGGTCCGGGTCGTCAATGTCGAAACGCCGCATTTCGCCGTCGACGGGCAGTTCGAGAACCCGTCCGTACTCCGCCGCAAAAGATGCCATCTGTGTCTCCCCCAAGGCCGCCCTGCTCCGCGTTGTCATCGTGCCGCTAGGGCGAAGCTAACGCGTCCCGGGGCGCATTGAAAACAACTGATTTGCCGCGCGGCCTTTCGTTTGCCCGCGCGGCGCCATAAGCATGAAGGCGGCGCTGCGGGCGCCGGAGCGGGACAATGACAATGCCGGAACGCGACATGGCCGACCAGGACCTGCCGGGCGCAGACACGGGGCTGTGGCCCATGCGCCTGTCGGCAATGCGTCGCCGTCTTGTCTCCCACCGGTTTCCGCTGGCGGCCGCCCTGGTGCTGTTCGGCATGTTGGTCGCCCGGGGCAATGTCTCGCTGCCGCTGTTCCTGGCGCTTTCGGCAGCGATGCTTGCCGTATGCCTGCTCGCGCCTGTCCGCACGGTCTCCGAACGTCGCCGCGCCGCCTCGGGAACGGACGGCGTTCGCGCGCTTGAGACGGCACCGTTCGCTGCCGCCCTCGACGGCATTCCCGATCCTGTCCTGTTGATCGACCGGCGCGGTGCGGTGCGCCACGCCAACCTGCAATATCAGCGCATGCTGGGCGCGATGCGGCCCGGCGCCTCGGTGCAGATCCGCTTCCGGTCGCCCGAAGTGCTGGAGATGATCCAGTCGGCGCTGGCCGGCGGCGCCCCCGGCCCGGTCGAGTTTCTCGAACGATCGCCGCGCGAGCACTGGTTTCTCCTGTCGATCTCCGCGCTGGCCTCGGGCGCCGACCGGCGAGGGGGATTCCTGCTTCATTTCAGGGATCTGAGCGAGTTGCGCCGCGCCGAGCGCATGCGCACCGACTTCATCGCCAATGCCAGCCATGAACTGCGCACGCCGCTCGCTTCGCTGGCGGGCTTCATCGAGACCCTGGCCGGCCCGGCCCGCGACGATGAGGGCGCCCGTGACCGGTTTCTGGCCATCATGCATGAACAGGCCGAACGCATGTCGCGCCTGATCGACGATCTGTTGTCGCTCAGCCGCTTCGAGACGGCGCTCGGCCGCTCCGACTTCGCGCGGGTCGACCTGATCGACATCCTCGTCCATGTCGTCGGCGCCTTCCAGCCCATGGCCGGCCGCAACGACATCGCCATCGCGCTCGACCGCGCCGCCCTGCCCGACGACCGCGTGTTCATCCATGGCAGCCGCGACGAGCTGATCCAGCTTTTCGAGAACCTGGTGGAGAACGCCATCAAATATGGCGGTGACGGCGGCAGGGTGGAGATCATCGCCACGCCCGCCGAACTGGGCGGAATGCCGGCAACATCCATTGAGGTGCGCGACCATGGCCCGGGCATTGAGAGCGAGCATATTCCGCGGCTCACGGAACGGTTCTACCGCGTCGATGTGGAAACCAGCCGGGGCAAGCAGGGCACCGGACTGGGCCTTGCCATCGTCAAGCACATCGTCACCCGGCACGAGGGGCGGCTGACGATAAGGTCGCGGCCCGGCGAGGGGACGAGGGTGTATGTCATCTTCCCTGCAATGGTCGCGGACAACGTAGACCAGAATCCGGAAAAAGACGAAAAAACAGAAACTTGAACTGTCATAAAACTGTTTCCATCCTGTCATAAAAGCGGCAAGGGCAGGCCGCTAGAAACGGTCCTGCCAGCCATTGCTGGCGCCCACGGCCGCCCTGCGGCTAATCGGACACGAGCCCTACCGGGAGTTACCCCATGAAATCCTTGAAAGTTGCACTTGCTGCAGCCCTCTGCGCGACCGCGCTGACCACGGCCGCCCACGCGCGCGACCAGGTGTCTGTCGCCGGATCGTCCACCGTCCTGCCCTACGCGACGATCGTCGCCGAGAACTTCGGCGAGACCTTCCCCGACTTCCCCACGCCGATCGTTGAGTCCGGCGGTTCCTCGGGCGGTCTGAAGGAATTCTGCCGCGGCGTCGGCACCGAGTTCATCGACATCGCCAATGCCTCGCGCGCCATTCGCGACAGCGAAGTGGCGAGCTGCGCCGAAGCCGGCGTGACCGAGATCCAGGAAATCCGCATCGGCTATGACGGCATCGTCTTCGCTTCGGACATCAACGGCCCGGACTTCGCGCTCGAGCCGATCCACATGTACCAGGCGCTGGCCGCCCAGATCGTCGTCGACGGCGAACTGGTCGACAACCCCAATGAGACCTGGGCCGACGTGAACCCCGACTTCCCGGACTGGGAAATCGCCGCCTACATTCCGGGCGAAAAGCACGGCACCCGCGAAGTCTTCGAGGAAAAGGTTCTTCTGGTTGGCTGTGAGGCCGCTGGCGACCTGCAGGCCCGTATGGATGCCGGCATGGACGAGGACACCGCCGAGGAGAACTGCTACGCGGTTCGCAAGGACGGCAAGTCGGTCGACATTGACGGCGACTACACCGAGACGCTGGCCCGCATCGATGCCAACAAGGAAGGCATGGGCGTGTTCGGTCTGGCGTTCTACGAGAACAACACCGACAAGCTGAAGGTCGCCACCATGTCGGGTGTCACCCCGACGACCGAGAGCATCGCCGCCGGTGAATATCCGGTGTCGCGCCCGCTGTTCTTCTACGTCAAGAAGGCGCACCTCGGCGTCATCCCCGGCCTGAAGGAATATGTCGAGTTCTTCATCTCCGACGCGATGACCGGCCCCGACAGCCCGCTGGCCGAATACGGCCTGGTTGCCGCCCCGGACGAGGAGCGCGAAGCCACCCGCGCCAGCTTCGCCGCCGGCGAAACCCTTTAAGCCGCGACCGGCTTTGCCATCGAGGGGCGCGGCCGGCTTCGGCCGCGCTCCGTTCGCATGATCCGGCCGATTGGCGGTCGCCGTGCGCCTTGTCGATCCAGAAGAGCCGTTTTGCGTCCCCGCAGGTGACGGAAAAGCGGAAGCCGACCCCGGGGGAAAGGCACAATGAGCGCCACAACCATCATTGCCATCGTGCTGGTGATCGGTGCGGTCGGCTATCTGGCCGGCGCGGCGCGTGCCCGCATGGTCGTCGGCGGCGAGACCGCAAAACTCCATTCACGCCCCGGCTATTACGGCTCTTTCATTCTGATCTGGGCGACGCTACCGGCGCTGCTGCTTCTGGTTGCCTGGTCGAGCTTCGCACCCGTCCTGATCGACAACCAGGTCCGCGACACCATTCCCGAGAGCGTCCGCGCCGAGCAAAGCGCGACCCAGCAAGACCTATCGATCAACATCGTCGAAGCGATTGCCGAAGGCTTGAGGCTTCTCGATGAGCGTGAACTGCAGCAGGCGACCGCCGGCTTCGTGCTGCTCCGACCGCTGCTTGCCGACAAGGGCGTGGCGCTGGCCGGCAATGGCGAAGACTGGATGATCGCGTCGGCGCAACAGCTTAATGCGCTGCGCGACACCAACATCATCTGGAAATCGATCGCCGTGATCGGCCTTTCGATTGTCGGCTTCACCGCCGGCCTTTTGCAGATCCGCGCCCAGTTGCGGGCCCGCAACCGCGTCGAGGGCGTCATTCACGCCGGTCTGGTCCTGGCGTCCACGGTCGCCATCCTGACGACGGTGGGCATCGTCTTGTCCATGATCTCGGAAACCGGCCGCTTCTTCTCGTCGGTTCCCCCGCAGGAATTCTTCTTCGGAACGGTTTGGGATCCGCGCTTTGCCAATGCCGAGGACCCCGACGCGGCCGGCCAGTTCGGTCTGATCCCGCTGCTCGCCGGGACGCTTTACATCGCCTTCGTCGCCATGCTGGTTGCCGTGCCGATCGGGCTGTTCGCTGCCATCTACATGGCCGAATATGCCAGTTCCCGGTTCCGGTCGATCGCCAAGCCGCTGCTCGAAGTGCTGGCCGGCATCCCGACCATTGTCTACGGCTTTTTCGCGCTTGTGACGGTCGGGCCGTTCCTGCGCGACCTGTCCGGGCAGATCGCCGGCATCGCCACCGGCGAGGTCAGCAGTTTCATCAGCGCGACCTCGGTGCTCACCGCGGGTCTTGTGATGGGCATCATGCTGGTGCCTTTCGTCTCCTCCCTGTCCGACGACATCATCAGCGCCGTACCGCGATCGATGCGCGATGGCTCGCTTGGTCTTGGCGCGACGCGCTCGGAGACGGTCAAGCGGGTGATCCTCCCCGCCGCGCTGCCCGGCGTCGTCGGCGCGCTTTTGATGACCGCCTCGCGCGCCATCGGCGAGACCATGATCGTCGTCATGGCCGCAGGCGTTGCCGCGCGCCTGTCGATCAACCCGTTCGAGCCGATGACGACCGTGACCGTCAAGATCGTCAGCCAGCTGACGGGCGACCTTGAATTCACCTCGCCGCAAACGCTGGTCGCCTTCGCGCTGGGGCTTACGCTCTTTTTCATCACGCTCGCGCTGAACGTCTATGCGCTCTACATCGTGCGCAAATACCGGGAGCAGTACGAATGACCGATGCCTCGCTGACGCCGGCAACGACCGCCACCGGCACGCGCAGCCACACGCGTGACATCGGGCTGAAGGCACGCTACGCCGCCGAGCGCCGGTTCCGCGCCTATGGTCTGGCGGCGGTTGCGCTGGGCCTGTTCTTCCTGTTCCTGCTGCTCGGCTCGGTGATCGCCCAGGGCTACACCGCCTTCTGGCAGACCTCGATCCAGCTCGATATCGAATTCGATGAAGAGGTGATCGACCCTGATGGAAACCGCGACAGCGACCGGATGGTGCTGCTGACGGCCAACTATCCGCTCCTCGCCCAGCGCGCGCTTCACGAAAAGCTCGGCGTCGATCCCGACGACCGCGCTGCGCGGCGCGATGCCAATTCGCTCCTTTCCCAGGGCGTGCGCACGCAATTGCGCGACATCGTCGTCTCCGACCCGTCGATCATCGGCACGACGCGCACGGTCTGGGTGCTGGCCCATGGCGACATGGACAGCGCCGCCAAGGGCCAGTTCGACCTGACGGTCGAGGAGTCGCGGCGCCGCGTCAACGACCGGCAGCTCGGCTACATGCAGACGCTGGAAGAGGCCGGCGTCATGGAAGGCCGGTTCAATACGGGCCTGTTCACGTTCGGCGCGTCCAGCCGCCCCGAGACCGCCGGCATGGGCGTCGCCATCATCGGCTCTTT